TAATGAAAGCAACTAAAAAGTACTTAGAAAGTAACAAAGAAACACTAAAAGTGATCAAGAGAAGGAAGCAAGGCTTGATGAATTTGGTGGAGAAGTTGCTGGAATTTATAGCTGTGCAGACTTGGTTAGGTAGGTCCTAAAACGATGGTGAATCACCCATTTCCAACTCTTTTGACTGACCAAATCGTGCTCAAACTGATAGTGGAACACTTCTTCTACACGTATGCATCGGTTGGAACCACCAAAACGCATTGGAAGACGCGTTTCATTAAGGCCAAAGTTGGAAGAAAAACTGTTTTCTGCAGCCTTCCCAGGCGCTTGGCGCCTCCTACGTAGGTATTTTCGATTTTTGCTTCTTTTGATTAATTTGCACTCCCAAATGGTCCTAAAATGTCATAAATACAATGTAAGCCAACCACAAACCATAATATATGAATTTTGCATGAATTGGAACTCAAACGACCGAGAAAAATCCGGAACAAAGCTGAAACATAGTAAAAACAGCATCTAAAACCTTCTTTTTACGCATGTAAACAAGCGTAATCAGTAGTGTTGGGCACTACTTGCTTACCTTTATCCGCCTTCTTATCTTTTACTTGTATTGTTGAGCGGGTGCTTGTGCACTGCTACTAGCTACTCCTTGGTTACTCCAGGAAAAGTTTGGATGGTGCCTCCATCCAGGGTTGTAAGTGTTTGAATACGGGTTGAAATTCCGCTGGGCACCTTGACCTACATAAAAAATAGACGATGGATTAGCTGGACAGTTCTCATACAAGTGGTTATCACCACAATAGACACAAGATATATCTGAAATTTGCAAAATAGGAGAGTGTTCAGGTATCGCCGAAGTGACGGTTTTGGTTTCCTTCTCCATTGTCAACTGCTTTAACATTTGGTTCATAGCTGCCATTTGGGCTTGCATTGAAGCTACTGTGTCTAACTCAAAGATTCCAGTTGATACTTGCTTCTTTGGTAATGACCTTCCCATTTCGCCTTGGTCATTAATGTCTGTCATCTTATTCAAGACATCAACAATCTCATTTACCGACTTCTCTAACAACGAGCCATTGGCTAGGGTATTCAACATCATCTTTGATGAACGATCCAATCCTCTATAGAATTGTTCAATCTGCACACATGAGGGCAATCCATGGCTCGGGCATCTTCTAAGTAACTCCTTAAAACGCTCCCAAGCTTCTTGAACTGCTTCGTTCTCCTTCTGTCTAAAAGACACAATGTCCTCTCGGAGGTCTGCGTTCTTGGTCAAAGTGTGGTACTTTGCCAAAAATTTATCCGTCAGTTCTGCCCATGTGTTGATAGAATTTGGTTCTAATGCGTTAATCCAAGTCCTTGCACCATCCCTGAGAGAAAAAGGAAACATTTTTAATCTTAGTGCATCCTCAGAATTACCCGGAAGTTGAAATGCATTAGCTATTTCAATAAAGGATTTGAGATGGGAGTAAGGATCTTCATTAGTCAATCCTCCGAACTGGCCCATCGTCTGTAAGATCTGGAACATGACTGGCTTGAGCTCGAACTGTGCGGCTTGGGGTAAAGGATTATTTATCCCTGAATTTAGGTTGTGGAACGCATGAGTGACATAATTCCGCATGGCTACATCTCGATTATCTGCTAGAAGGATCAGATTAGGAATTTCTCCTACTCGGTTTGCTGCTTCTTCACCTGCCATATCTCCATTCACAGGTGGATTTTGTGGCGGTGGAGGATCTTGTGCATTTCTATTCATCTCGATGGTCTCTTCTTTTTCACCTTCTTTCTTTTTTTTACTTTCTTTCTCTTTTCTCAACCTCTCCTCACGCCTTCTCCTCTTAAGGGTTCTTTCAATCTCTGGATCAAAGGTCAACCAACCAGACCCTGTGCTCATACACAACTCCCTTAAAGGTTAGATATAACAATTAATTCCAATGACAGAGGTATGCAACAATCACACAATGAAACAATTCACTTGAAAAGAATATGATTTGAAAACTTAAGTGCCCGGCAACGGCGCCAAAAACTTGTTGGGATTTTCTCTACCTTTAAAAAGATTAGAGACTCATGCAAGCGCACACGGTCAGAAGTAATACTTAGAAGTAATCCAAGGTCGAATCCTTAGGGACTTGTTGCTTTTCAAAATCAAGTAATGCAGAGAAATAGTTCAAATATGCAATTGTGATTTAGGAAGAAAATAATGGTGAAATGTTGTTGTTTGGGGCTTTAACTATCAAGCAATTTAATGAAACTCAACATCCTTGTCTCCTACCTTAGTTTTGATGCAAAACATGGAAAACACACTATGTTGAGAAAATGCACCAGGCGCAATTCCTGACTTTTCTTGGGATTTGAGTTCTACTCTTTCACTACTGCTTTTGGTTGTTGTAGAGGCTAGGGTAACCTACAATCATATTCCTATGTGTGATTACAATCCTAGAGAATATCTACCAACTCATTTGCATCATGGGTCAGAGGGCTTATGCCTAGGACCATATTTTATGCGCTTATTCCTAAGTCACATCCCATATTGGTTTCCTATCATTTTACCTATCTCACCTTTCCCAAGGTTGGGCTTTGGTGTATAAATCAAGTTCCCACCGGCCGAATGGAAAAAAGACGTAAAGAGAAGTTTTTAGAAACCAACCCAAAAAAGTGTCAGGCGCAATCTGGCCAAAATCTCGAGCGTGTTGAAAATTAAATCATTTCACTAAGGCATTCCACAAGGAGGTTGATAACTAATTTAGAACATAATTAAATGAAAGTAAATGCACGAAAACATAAAGAAAGTATTTTTTATTGAATTTAAATGAATAAACGAGCCGTACAAGGAGTTCTATCTTAACCCTCTTCTCTCTCGAGCGTGAGGGGAGTTGAAACTTGCTAAAGAACTTTAAAAGAGCATAATGAACAAAGAACGAAAATAAGAACTCGAATTAGAAGCACTACGAAAGGTAAAAGCGTGAAAAACAAAGAAATGAACAACTAGAACATTAACATAAACCCAAAAAACGTGTTCTACAACTAGAGAGCATCTAAAAGAAGATGAAATGAAGCTTAGAAGGGATGATTTGCTGAGGGAATGAACAACTATGGCTTCCTTTTATAGCACCATAGGTTGGTTGAAACTCCCCTCCATTTTAGGTGGAAAGAGGTTGAGATTCACCTAACCACCTCACTTGGACTTGGACTCACGGTTTTGAACATGTGGGAAATGTTCTCTTTGCCCTTCATCAATCAAAACGTGCGTTTTGACAAATTTCCCTCCAAAAATGCGCCAGGCCCAATTCTGCAAAAGACAGAATTCTGTTATTTTCTTCCAACTTTGACCGCATTTATCTCATATTTTTCCTAAAGTACCATAGTTTGACATTTATGCATAAATAATCTATGTATGTTCTACTTTAAGAATATGTGGTCCTTTTTGGCAAATAATAATGGGAAAAGGGTAAAAAACGTGGTCAAACAGGGCTACCGACACATGTTTCTACAGTAAAAAGTCAACCCTAACAAACAGCGCAGCACGAAGAGCGCCTGAGACATGTTTTGACCGCTTTGAGGAGAAACAGTTTGTATGCAAAGTTCACGAAATGCGAATATGATTCTAATTTTATAATAAATAATTAAGCGTTAATTATTTATGTATATATATATTTATTAATTATTAATTGGATTAATAATTAATTATATTTATTAATTAATTTGATTAATTAATTAATTATATATATATTAATGATTATATATATATTTATTAATAATAATAATAATAATAATAATAATAATAATAATAATAATAATAATATTAACTCCCTCCAATATTGTAGGGGAGTGGGAGGTTTTGTGACGTGGGTAGTTACCCCACGTCACCCTTCTTATTCTTCAAGTGTTGAAGAATGAGAAGTGAAGGGGTGATGCAAATCCAACCATGGATCCATTGAATGTACCCGAGGGACCATTTACAAGAAGCAAAGCAAAGAAAATTCAAGAGGTTTTCATAATACATC